GTGCTGAAGGCACACTCTCTCTGTCCATTTCCCTCTCTTCTGGCTTCAGCACTAGCACTGGGAGCCAGAGAAGGTTATAGTGCTTGGTTGATCTCCTAGAAGTGAGGGTATAGAAAGGGTCTCTGGGCCCTCCATACCCCAAGCTTCCTATGAATGGTTGGTCTGGAGCTTCAGCAGGAGGCAATAAGGCTGACCTTGACACCTGTGCTGGCTCTTCTTGCTCTGACCTTCCTTTAATGAACCAAAACATCCATTCACCAAAGCCCAAGAAACTTTAACACGGCCCTACCCAACCTCCCAGGTCCCTCCCAGGTGAAGTTCCATGAGTTCCACGCACCAGGTTTCTATGGGAGGCCGGAGTCTTGTTTCTATCTACTTCACCACTAACCACACTCTTTAATCCCACTGCTCAGGTCCCTCCCTACTCATAAACTTTGCACAAACACAATTTAACTATAAATGTTCTTTTTGTGTATGTGTGCGTGTGTGTGTTGTGTGGTGTAGAGTGTATGCACGTGCCCAAGTGCATGCGGTGTACATACATGTTTACATGTGCTTGTGTGTGTGCGCATGTGTGTAGAGGCTAGAGGTCCTCCTAATGGCTCTCCACCTCACTTTTTGAGAGAGGGTTACAGATGCACCCTACCAAACCTGACTTTTATGCAGATGCTGGGGATTTGAACTCGGGTCCTTACACTTAGCCTGTACCCAGCATTCTTTTAATTCGTGTTTCTTTCATTTAGTGCTTGAGTTTGTGAATTCCAGCAAGCTTCCGCAGAAGCTGTGATGGCTTTATGCCATTGCTGTACAAACTTCCCCAGTATGAGACCTCCTACGGGGTAGTGACCATTCTGCAACAGGTGGATCTTTTGTCTTCCTGTGAGTCCCAGCATCTCCCTGCTGAGCTACCTGTGGCTGGATGCTGAGTTCACTGGTGACAGAATTGTGAATATGATGTTAAGGGGCTTTCAGATGTGTTTATACCATGTCCACCCTCTGTGATAGTGGATGAGGGTCCCCAGTTCTCATGCATTCTCATCAAAACCTTGTGTAGTTTGCTTCTTCGAAAAAAAAATTTGTGCTAGATCGAATGGATGGTTGGTGTCTAGTGATGCTAAGGGTACTGCTCTGGTCACCAGAGCTGTGTGTGCTTTGCTGTTTCTACTGGAATGAAGCAGCCATGCTTATAAGCATCTCTTGGGGTTACTGGTCCACTTTCCAGCAGAGGGTGGCTCCCAGGAAGCCCTCTTACAACAAAGTGAGCCCTCTACCATGCATGCATTGACATGTTTCAAGTTTGTCTTTCCCACACCTTGGTGTATTTTGAAAAACAAATGCTTTTCTCCATGGTTCACTCCAGTTTCTAAACTTTCCCTTTGTGCCTGACAGTTTTCTATCCCATATAAGACATCAGTGAGGCTGTTTGAGAACGTATAATATGATCTAACATCACTAGGTTTTACCATTCATGTTAGGGTTTACGGTTTTCCCAACATTGATTTCATTTTGTACGACTGGATTCAACTCTCATTTCTTGTTTTTCTATACACACAGTCAGTTGTTTGGAGAATTTATTCAAAGTTTTCACTCCTTGTTTCTCTATAGAGCCTCCACTGGCACAGATCAAAGGGTGTGACACACCCTGCTTTGTTGCTGGGCCCATTGCTGGCCCTACTGTCTGACTGCAGAAACCTAAGTCAGCAGCATCCTGTCTGAGTTACTGCTGGTTTTAGGGATGCTTTGGTGCCAGGCAGAGCAGACCAGTGTCTCCTGGTCCTGCTCATGAGCATCATGGCTTTTCTGAACATTTTAAGTCCATCTTGTCCAATGTATGCTGATGAGCTAACTGATGATATATGTAGTGGACACATAGCTCACTCAGGGGACATGTGGCATGGGCACCCTGATCCATCAATGCAGAACAGACTTACATGAACACAGTCCTCCAAGATCCTGGTCTTAGTGAGGACTCTGGATTCCTGTTTCAGAGGATGCTCTCAGGCATTCGCTATGAGGGTGTAGCTTTGGCACCTGTGACCTCTGTGTTCCATGTCCTGGGTTCTCGTTACTGGTTCTTGGACCTGTTGCTTTTCTTCCCTTCGAGCATGGTTGTCTCCCATCCTTTTCTGACATTTACTTACACACACACACACACACACACACACACTTTGTAGAGGGCCAGGCATATGACTCAACAGGCAAAAATACTTACTGCACAAGCCTGACCACTTGAATTTGCCCCTCATTACCCATTGGGAGCAGTGAGTGGCCACACATGAGACCTCAGCTCTTCTTTGGAGAGCCTGGAGGTGGAGACAGGAGAACTGGTCAGAAGCTCGGGCCAGCTCACCTAAAGTATACCATGCACAAATATCAGGAAAGGGACTGCCTCAGAAATAAGGTAGGAAAAAGGAACCAACTCCCGTAAGTTGTCACCCCAATACACACACACACACTGACACACATTACAGAAACTTGTGAAGCCCATAATGCAGGCACGAGCAACCTGGGAAGACCCCAAGACGTTTCTCAATCTTAGCTTTCTCCCCTGCACACACCTCCTCAAAGGCAGTCTGCAGTAGTGCTAAGAGAGCTCACCCTGCTTCTAGGGTGGAGCCTTTCTGGGTCCCAAACACAAACTCTTCCTAGTCCTTGGCACTGACCTTTGACCTTTAGCACTGCACAGCTGTCCAGTTAGCTTTTGAGTTTGGTAAATTCTCATGGCAATAAATGAAGCTGGAAGCCTTATTTTCTTTCTTCAAGATTTATGTTCCCAGAACTTAGCGGTTGTGCTTGCAAGTCTGTGACCTTTTGCTGTTTGTCCCCAGTAGGATCGACAGTCCTGAATATCCAGATTGCCATTGCCAGAGGTCAGTGTTTCCCACACAGCTAAATGTAAAGTATCTGACTGTAGCAGAACCTGGATATATTTGTCTCTTTTACATTACTGACAGAGCACGGGACAGATGATTCATAAATAAGTGAGTTTTGTTTATGCTCGTGGCTCTGGGCATGCAAATTCCAGGTCTGCATCTGGCGATGACTCTCTTGCTGGCAATGGTGACACAGGTCCCTGGTGAAAGGCAGGAATGCTTGTGAGTGTTTATGCATATGTATATGTATACATGTGTGCATGCATGAATATATATACATGTACCATTGAACACACAGGTATGTATTACTATGTACATGTGTGTGCATGTGTGCATGCATTACTATTTGTAAACATGCACCTGTGAATATTCATATGTGTATTACATGTACATATTGCACACATACATGTGCTCATGCATGTGTATGCACTTGCATGAAGGTATATGCATACACACAAGGGTGCAAACACGTGGGTGTATGGATATGCACACGTGTGTCCTGGTCCTCCCTCTTTCTATAGAGCCATCAGGACTGACTGTGGAACTTACTCTCTGACAACTTTACTGTGTGGTTTAAGTGAGATGTCCCCCATAGTCTTGGGCATTTGAATATTTGGCCCCCAGTTGGTGGAATTGCTTGGGTGGATTAGGAGGTATGGCCTTGCTGGAGGAAGTATGTCACTGGGAGAGGACTTTGAGGTTAATCCTCCTGCCATCTCCAGTGCCCTCTCTCTGCTTTCCTATTCGCCCTTTGAGACGTGAGTCTTGACTACTGCCCCAGCTGCCTGCCACCTGCTACCTCTGATCCTCCATTATGGGCTCCAAACCTCTGGAACCATAAGCCCCAAATAAACGCTTTCTTCTCTTTGTTGTCTTGGCTGTGGTGTTGTATCACAGCAATAGCAAAGTAACCAACACACTGACCTAGTCTAACTGCCCCAGAGGCCCCACTTCCCAACACTACAGTGGAATCAAATGCCTACGATCTTCAAACCACAGCATCTACAGTCTTCACAAGCCATATCTCAGCAGCCTTTCCCACTACAGGACTGTACTGGTGACATCTCCCCTGGTGAGTGTGTGCAAGGAGTTGTTCCAGCAGAGGCAGCTGGCATATGGGGGTCCAAAGTCTTACTCCCTCTTTCTGACTTGACCAAACCCCAGGTGAACATCCATCCTGAACCAAGTAGTTGGCACAATGAAGCTTGCCTGCTGGGCCTCAGCCCTGTGTTCTCTGGCTCAAGGGTGCTGGGAGACTCAGAAAGAAGCCTGCTTGTGCTTGTACAATGGTGCTGTCTAGAACTGCGCACCACACTCAGCAGTGGTGCTCCAGCACGCTCCCCATATTTTCCTAGGCTTCTTAACTCTGTCCCTGCGTCTGTCCCCCTTGGCACAAGCAGTACAGCTGGGCTCTACTTTGCACAGTGGCCCAGGGAAATAGCTGTCCCTTGAAACCCCGTCCTGCTACCCTCTGACATCATCAGACATCCATATCATTCAACTGAACAGTCACTGTCAGCTTAGGCTGAGCCTGCAGGGTACAGAACACAAAACACAGAATTTAGACTGAAGACAGGGAGACCAGAGTGGAGGAACAAGAGGTGTCTACACCTGTGGGTGTGATAAGCAGCCCCTGGCTCACTGGATCTCTGACAGAATAGAGTCCAGTGTCCGATCCTTGCAGGCTGTGGGATCTACCTGTAAATACCATGCAAGTTCTACCTTGGTAGCTGGTAACAAGGCAGCGGTACAAGTGTACTTCGGGTGTCACAGGTGCTTAGAACTTCTTTTCCTTTCCACATCAAATCCCCAGGGACCAGCTCACTCCTGACTGTCCTGGGGACTGGCTCCAGAATCTTATCTAACCACAGATGATTTAGAGCCTTATGGGAAACAAGAAAAGTATATGGGGTTATGCTTGACTTAAGCCAGCAAGGCAGGTCCTTTGCAAATAGAAGTGACCCTGGGCTGGGCTTAGATGCTTCTGCAGAGGAAGTGAGCCTCGGAGGCCTCACTGGAAGAACAGACATACCCTTGGGACAATTTCAGGCCTCTTGTGCAACCATGGGTCTCCAGGAAGTGATTATCTCCTGGGGATTGGGACACTTGGAGCCCAAGGTGGGGAGCTGGGGCTCCTGCTTTATAAGAGCGGGGTGCCTCTGCAAAGCTATAGAGGACTGGGAGCTGAGCAGTTACCATGGCCCTGGACACTGCTGCCCTCTTCATCGTGACCCTGTCCATCAAAGGCCTGCTCACCCATGCTGCTGACACCTGCCCAGGTAAGATGGACTCTAAGCCCCTGAATGCAGGTAACTACTTAGTGTCCCGGTGCCTGCCTCTCCTGGGGAGCCAGCTCAGTGTCACCCTCTGAAGACAGACTGGAAGTGATCAGCACCAGGTCAGGTGGAGATTTTATAGCCTGGGACTGCTGACCCCGAGGCCTGCAGTCCAACCTCAGGAGCTTCACAGGAGAAGATGACACTGATGTTTTCTACCTTCTTAGGGAGTTCAGAGAGAAAGGCTAGGAGCCTCTAATCTGGTGGATAACACACACCTTGATAACTTTGGTAAAAATGTACCCCATAGTCCCATATGATACATATAGGCAAGGACTTGGTGTCAGGAAGATCCCTGATTGGCTCCGTCCACCCTGGGGACATTGTTCCTGGGCACAGGGCAGCTTTGTGATGACATGATTAGAGAAGGAACTTGGACAGCAAGGCACAGCCCAGTCCAGGGAAAAGAGCTAGCAGGGAAACCAGACAGGAAAAGCCTACGAGGGTTCAACCCTACACAGAGAACTACAGGCAACTGAGGGAAGATGGGCGTGGGAGAGATGGTCCTCCCCACTGAGGAACACACTAAATGACTGTCCAGTGCCGAACGGTCATCCCTGTAAACATACACACAAGTAACATCAGATGGACTCAGTTATATTCAGGAATACGTATGCATACAAATACACATATATGCATACAATAACAATCAGTGGAAGGAAAGAGACCATGAATTTGAAGGAGAGCAGGGAGGGGAGAGGTATGTGGGAGGGTTTTGGAGGGAGGAAAGGGAAGGGAAAAATGTAATTATAACCTCAAGAAAAGAAAAAATATTTGGCAAGAAACACACCAAAGACCCGCCCTTTTCTGATAACTCGAGTTCTACAAGGGTGTGTAGTCTGCCGTTACACAATTTAACAATATTTTCAAAAATGTAGCAACTTCTGTTGGGTTCCAGCTGTGCCTTGAGGCATGCATACCCCCTCCCCAGAAGACCTCTTCTAGCCCAGTCATTCCTTGGTTAATCCTCAAGACTGAGAGACAATTTTATGTTGATTGAATTTCTTAGCAAGATAGATTCTTATTTTTTTAGAAACAGTAACCATCCACGAAGTTGTCTCTAAATGCCAGAATGATGGCAAGATTTTCTTTTTCCAAAGTCATTCTCTTAGTGAGTCCCTGCCACACCCCTATTCTTTAGGGAAACCGTATATTTAAATGTGTATGGGTGTTTTATCTGTAAGCTCGTCTGTGTGCACTTGCAGGCCTGTGCCTGCAGATACCAGAAGATCCTCTGGAACTGAAGTTACAGGCAGTTGTGAGCTGTCATGTGGGCATGGGGAACCAAACCTGGGTCTTCTGAAAGAATGGTGCTTTTTATTTGTTTGTTTGTGTTTGTTTTTGTTTTTGTTTTATCGAGACAGGGTTTCTCTGTAGCTTTGGAGCCTGTCCTCGAACTAGCTCTTGTAGACCAGGCTGGCCTTGAACTCACAGGGATCCACCTGCCTCTGCTTCCCAAGTGCTGGGATTAAAGGTGTGTGCTACCACCACCTTGCTAAGAACTATGCTCTTAACAGCTGAGCTATCTCTCCAGTTCCTACAACCACTTGGGGGCTGAGGGGACAGAGTCTCAGGGGTCTAAGGTGATCTGTCAAAGGACCACAGCACTGGTAACTGCAGGACTCATTCTTGAGCAGGTTTCCTCTTCCCACGCGATAGAGCTGTATCCTGAATTCCTCTCTCACCTGCCCAGCTTCCCAGGACAAGGACGGACCTAGTCGCCATCAAAGGAATCTGACTTCTGCCCCATCTCTGCGGAGGAGGCTGGGGATTCTGGCTGTAGCCATCTACCCACATCTGATGTGGCTGAGCTGGCAGTTGCCCTCAGGGCAGGTGGCCCAAGATAGACTAATTGATGCTTGCGCTGTTCTGCAGAAGTGAAAGTCCTGGATCTGGAGGGCTCCAACAAACTCACCATCCTTCGAGGCTGCCCTGGGTTGCCTGGAGCCCTGGGACCCAAGGGAGAAGCCGGTGCCAAAGGAGATAAAGGTGTGTTCTGGAAAAGGGGGTTGTGTGGAAGGTACAGAAATGGGAGAGGGGCCCTGAGTCTGGTCTTCTGAACTTGGATGACCACCTCAGGTCCTCTCTGACTCTGGGTCTTGCACTGGGCACTGGGTACCTTTGGCACAATGGTAAATGACAGAAACTAGGTCCATCCAGTCTGGGAAGATCCAGGAGGGTTTCCCTGGACCATCTGAGGTGTCTCCTGGTCTCCTACCTATGTTTCCTTCACTTGATCACCAGAAGACAGCTAGGCAATAGACGCTTTGGCATCCTCACCTGTAAGCTGGGCTATCACTTTCTTCTCCACCTGCCCCAAGTGACAGAACAAAGGCTCAAAGGGACCAGCTCCTCCCTGAGTTGACCTCCCGAGAGAGTGGGGCAGCCTCCATCTGGGGTCTGCTTCAGAATACAGTCCCTAGAGCATTGAACCACAACCTTAGTGCCTGTGGGGACCTTGAACACACTTGTTCTCCCCTATTGGGAGACAGTGGTGGCACCCATGTTTCCTAAGTCAGACTCCGATGTACACTGGGGTTCAGCAGCAGAGCTGCCTGGGTGAGCCCCATTTCTGAAGGTTCCCCAGGTGGAGCCTGCTGCTGATCAGCTGGGGACAGGACAAACATGGACACCTCTGATACCACTAGAAGATGCCAGGCTTAAAGCTGATGTGAGTGTCCCCAAGTCAAATCCCACTTGCTTGCTCACCTCTGTGGTCCCACTAGGGGAGGGGATTTCTGTTCCCAGAACTTTGCTGAGGGACATTGGGGAAGAGATTATCCCACGACCAGAATGGGACAGCCAGCAATGAAGGAGGGGTGTTGACCTCTTACTTTGGGTCCCACTTTCTTATAACTAAGCTGCTACCAGTGTGCATTGCTGATTGGAGTCAAGCGGGAACTAATGTTCCTGGGTGCTCTGTAGGGTTAGCGGGCCTGCCGCAGTGTCCCCGCAGTGAACTTGCTTCTCCTGATGCACATTTCCGTCTGTAGAGGACGAACAAGTCCACTCTGTCCATCAGGTGACGATGGGAGCCTGGCATCCTCAAGCTGCTGCAGACACTAGCAGGACTGTGCTGGCGGCCAGTGTGATTCCCGCTATAGAACCCGCAAGGAGGACCTTTTGACCACCTCATAGCTTCCATTGAGCCAGGGAGCATCTTAGCTGGGTTTCTATGGCTGTCATAGAACACCACGACTGAAAGCAGTTCAGGAAGGAAAGAGTTTATTTCATCTCACAGCCTGCAGTCTGTTATCCAGGGAAGTCAGGGCAGGAATTTAAGACGGGAACCTGGAGGCAGCAGGTGATGCTGTTTACTGGCTCATCCTCAAAACTTTCTCAGCCTGTCTTCTTGGCTCCCAGCACCGCCAACCCAGGAGTAACACCGTCCACAGTGACCTGGGCCTACCACATCAATCACTAATCAAAAAAAAAAAAATGCCCCCATAGGCTTGCCTGCAGGCCCATCTGGTAGGGACATTTTCTCAGTTGCTATTCTCTTTCCAAATGACTCTAGTTTGTCTCAAACCAACGTTAAACTATATAGCACAGGGTTGTTGGGCTTGACGCAGCCACGGCTTTCTACATGGACACTCTGTGAGGAAGACCTGCCCTTTCCTTGTGGAGACCTAATAGGACAGAATCTCTGAAGACACGTTTTCTGTCTCTGTCTTCCCCTGTGAGGTCGCTGTGGCCCAGGCCTGGGTCACTCAGGTTGGACAAAGGAATAATTGAGAGTTTACTGAGAGCCTGCCCGAGGCTCCAGTACCCAGCCTACCTCTGCTCCTTCCCGAGCCACGGGTTAGGCTATACCATCCTCTGTACCCTCCATAGTGAGCCTGGCTATAGTCCAGAACGTCACTAAGGACAGCATGACAGGGTCAGGATTTTGCCATCTAAGCAGACTGTCCATGGGAATGATGGTGGATACTTTACTCAGAAAGTATATTTGGATTTGCAGGAGAGAACGGCCTCCCTGGACATCCTGGGAAGGCAGGACCGATGGGGCCCAAAGGTAACAGCCTGGCAGACAGCCAAGGGGCACTAAATAGGTACCTCGTTCTGTCACAAAGACATGGGGGTTGGATAAAGAGATGGGAAGGGAGTCTACACGAGGCCCCAGTGCCCAATCTGCCAATGCACCCTCCCCAGCCATGTGTTAGATTATACCACCCTCTGCACCCCCCACAGTGAGCCTGGCTATAGTCCAGAACGTCACTAAGGACAGCATGACAGGGTCAGGATTTTGCCACCTAGGCAAAGACTGTCCACGGGGACAATGGTGGATGATTTGCTCAGAAAGTGTATTTGAATTTTCAGGAGACAAGGGCCTACCTGGACAGCCTGGCAAGGCAGGACTGATGGGGCCTAAAGGTAACAGACAGCCTGGCAGACAGCCGAGGGGTGTTAAATAGTCACCTCAGTCTGTCCACAAAGACATGGGGGTTGGAGAAAGAGATGGGAAGGGAGCCTGCCCTACCCCAAGCCCCAGTGTCCCTTTCCTGTCATAAACAGGGGTTGCCTGCCCCCACTCTTGCTGACTCCAACTTTCCAGCTGCCCCTAAGTGGTGCCTGCCTTAGGTAACTAGCCCCTTTGGTGAGTCTCCTGATCGATCAGATGCTCTGGGTGCCACCATCTTGTTTTCTGCTTCCGCAGGAGACCAAGGAGAAAAGGGAGCACGTGGAGAGAAAGGTGAGTCCATGTGTTATGTCTTGAGGGTGTCCACAGCTCTGTGCAGAGTGAGGTCTGCCATGCCCAGCCATTCCTAGGGAGAGGGGCTCAATGGGTAGAGTAGGTGGCAGGCGGGCACTAGGACATTCAAACCCTGAGGGCTCACATCCTAGCACCTACCTGTGGTCTAGCTGGGTGGTTAGCAAAACTGAATTGAATTTTTTCTAATTGATGCTTACTTATTATTTTTTTAAAAAAATTATTAAACTCTAAGACAGAACCTCATGTTTTCTTTATGATTGAGAGGGAGCTACCTTAGTTCTGAATGCCATGGACATCCCTCACCCACAAGGCCTCCTGGTTAGACACTCTGGCAGAGCATAGTCTAAGCATGCTGGGAACAAGAAGGGGGTTATCTACTCCCATTGGTACCCAAGGCCTCAACAAGGGTGTTGTCAAGGACAGTACTTACCACAGCTGCAGAGGAAAAGCCAGGCAGCTGGACCATGTACCTCAAGAAGAAGACCTAGGCGAGTCCTGGAATTACCCAGCTCGTGCATTTGTGGGGACTTAGGGGTCAATGGGGATGAAGCTAATGACCACACACTTACAACCAGGTCGCTTCTCTCCCCTCACAGGAGACACCGGGCTTTCTCAGTCATGTGCTACAGGTGACCACATCATCTATCCTGTCCCCATGGATATATTCTCTGTCCCTTTCTCCCCTTCTGGGTCCCTGCCATATGATGTTGGGCTTCTTGCCTACCTTCTCTGAGCATACCTGGATTCCAGTCCCACCTTCATTACCTGCTTCCCACCACAGGACCTCGGGCCTGCAAGGAATTGCTCACCCGGGGCCACTATCTTACTGGCTGGTATACCATCTACCTGTCAGACTGCAGGCCCCTGACTGTGCTGTGTGACATGGACACTGACGGTGGAGGCTGGACTGTGAGTATTGGGCTAGCCCTCAGGCACAGAACTGTCAGAACCCAAGTTCTGTGGCCAACAGGAAATGAGATCTGTGGGCTTCTCTGTCCTGTTGTGCCTCAGAGAGAGACCTTTCTTCTCTGACGACAGAGAATCGGGAATGCTGGCTGTGACCTGTGCGGGAGATCCCATGTTGAAGGGGAGGACCCAGATGGAGCCGGCACACTCCATTTCCTGCTCCGTGGCTTGGGGCACATTGCCTACTCTCTTGGCTGCCATGTACTTCATTGTGTGGGGTCTGCAATGGCATCCATACGGCACTAGGTCCCCAGTGTTCTGGGGATCACGGGTTCCTGCTCTGTTCTGAGACTTGGTCCGCCATGTTGTGAGAAGTTTGCTTGCCTCCTTGACTTCTGTGTATCTGTCCCAGGTCTTCCAGAGGAGGCTTGACGGCTCTGTGGACTTCTTTCGGGACTGGGCCTCTTACAAGCAGGGCTTCGGCAGTCAGCTGGGGGAGTTCTGGCTGGGGAATGACAACATCCATGCCCTGACCATGCAGGGTAGGCAGTGCCAGTCAGATTGGGTAACCTTGGGACCCTGAGTGCTGGACCAGGGGGCAGAAAAGCCCCACGTGGTTAGAGGGCACATTAACAGCACCCCAGGGCATGAAATCACTGCTGTGACCTTCCAGAGGGTGAGGGTCAGGGGATAGGACTCTCTCTAGCTGCGGGCTACTAACATCTCAGAAAACAACGGAAGAGGTGTGCAGGTAGTCTTGGGGACATCCCTTCGCCAATCTAGCTGTTAATTCATCCACCTGCCTCTGGGTCCTATCAAAGTCCCCCTTGCCACAGAGAGTAGGCTCCCCAAAGCCCTTCTGGCCCCACTGTGGTACATCACACCAGCCCATTATCTGTCCTGTGATTCAATGAAAACCACGTTGCCTTTGTCTCCTACTCACTGCCAGGACACCTTATTGTGTCTGCTCCTGTGCATCCAACTTTTGAAGGGAAAAAAATAGAAAGAAAGAAAAGAAACCTTCACATTCAGGTTCAGGCTACTGCATTTGAGGGCAGAGCCCTCTGGGAGAATTCACAGACTGAAGCATGCCAGGTCATACCAAGGGAACACTGCCAGTGGGTTTTCAGGTACTGCCTGGAGAAGAGATGGGAGGGTGCCTAGAAATGGTGCCCCCGCTCAGGCCAAAAGATGTTGGTACCTACCCAGGTGAATTTCCTAGGCCTGCCTAGTGTTCAAGTTCAAAGGTTGACTTTTCACACTCCCCCCCACACACACTTCCTGCAGGAACCAGTGAGCTGCGAGTCGACCTTACAGACTTTGACGGCAAGCACGAGTTTGCCAAGTATAGCTCCTTCCGGATCCAGGGAGAGGCCGAGAAATACAAGCTCGTCCTCGGAAACTTTGTTGGAGGTGGTGCTGGTGAGCAGCTTGGGAAGAGGCTTGAGATGGGGGGCTTCTGAACCAGTCTTGGAGGAAAGGGGCCCGCTTTTTGTCTCCCCCTGGTAGCCTTGAGCTGAGTCTATGGCTCTGAGGCTAGGGTTGCCATCTGAAAAACACTAATATCTGCGTCTCTGTGCCAGGTGAGGACCATAGATGCAGTCTGTTAGCACTCCCAAGACTGCCCAATAGCCCAGACTAAGGGCCCCACCCTGCTCCACTGCAGAGTGAATGGGGACCACTGGCTACCATACCTGATAGAGTCAGGAGATGGTCATCTCTCCCTAGGTGCTAAAGCCCCATTTTCCCATAGAAAGAGCACCTTTGGGACACTGAGTTAGTCAGACCCTTTACTGTGGACCAAAGGTGAGGAGGAACATCATGGTGGGAGCTTCTGATAGAACAAAGCCTCTCATTTTAGGGTCAACAGGAAGCAAAGAGATAGACTGAAAGGGAACACCCCTCAAAGGCATGTTTCTAGTGACCCTGACTTCCCAGAGTCACCATCTCCCTAAGGGTTACTAGGAATCTATCAGTGACAAACTCACTGATGTTGTCTCAGCTCTCTTAATCCAATCACCAGAACCCCAAACACTGCTTGCCCTGATTGAACCTTCAACACACACAGTTTGTGGGGGGACAGTTCATCTGAACCACAGCAGCTTTCCCCAAAGGACCCTGGCCCTGTGGTTTGGGAAGTGCATTCCACGAAGTAAGTGCCCGGCTGGGTACAAGGGAGTGGCGAGATTCCCAATGTGTCTCAGGGAGCTGTGGGGCGTGACCAGACCTATTTAACTGCGAAACCCACAGCTAAGTGGAGCAGGCCAGTCTCTGAGGAACTTTGAAGGTGACAGGTCTGAAATTTATGCACCTGCTTTGCCCCATCTCACTTGGGACTTTTAGGAAAGCAAGAAAGCAGGTGGGGACGCATCAGAGGGTCTGTGCAAGCTGCAGGCCCAGCATGGATGCGGAACAGGGTGAACCCTGGAGACACAAGGCCATTTGGTGCCTTCTGAGAGACATCCAGGGCAAGAGGGGAGTTAAGAGAAGTCCTAGAGAGGGCTGCAGCCTGCAGCTGGGAGAGAGTTGGTACCGGTGGTGTTCTTCAGAGGATCCCTGAGGGAACAGAGAGTGTTGTGAAGAGCGACGACAGTGACCACAGGGACTTGATGGACCAAAAGGAGGGGTCATATCTGGTGTTATACTCTTTCCCAAAGCTTTCACAGATGGCTCCCACACCTGGACCTGAGCTGATGAATTCTCCAGCTGAGGATAGGCAAGTCACAGGCAGGGTCGTCTAGTGGATGTCTAGCATCTATCTACATGATGCATGTTCTTTCTGAACAGGTGACTCTCTGACTATCCAAAACAACCAATTCTTCTCTACCAAAGACCAAGACAATGACCAGGATTCTTCCAGCTGTGCGTAGCGATTCCACGGAGCCTGGTGGTACTCGGATTGTCACAGTTCCAACCTCAATGGTCTCTACCTCAGGGGTCCTCATAAGAGCTACGCAGATGGTGTCAATTGGAAGTCATGGAGAGGGTACAATTATAGCTACAAGGTTTCTGAGATGAAGATACGCCTCACTTAGCTGCCCACACAGGGACGTCCTCTGTCATCATCGCCAGCTAAGGAAGGAATGTGCCCACCCTGTCCAGCTCTGCCCTTTACCCACAGCCCATACAGCCCGTGACCTCCAGGACAGCCTTCCTCACACACCTGCATTTTCATCTCAAAAGAAAAATTACCTTTCCAAAAACTGCTTGTTCTCCAACCGACTTGTGCCTGTGAGCTTTCCGTGTTACCTTTGAGTATTTCTTTGCATCTCTATCATCCAGCACAGCTGTCTATGACCTTGACAGTCAGGAAGAGTTGCAAAGTCCATTTATAAATGCAGAGGAAACAACCAATGTCTGCTTCCCTAGGGTCATCTGCCTCTGACCCCCAGCTTTGCTATTATCATAAGTGCCCTGTCCCCACCCCAGCCCCATGTCCCCTTATAGCTCACTGACAGCAATTAACATGACCATTAAAAAGTCACGTAGAGCTAGGAAACATTCATAAGAGGTTGGAAACATGCAGAAACACTTCTTGCTATGTAAATGTTTCTGTGAGACAGTAGCTTCGCATGAATTGCAGATATGGGGAGCACTGACCACAGGGCTGGCAGTACCGGGGAAGATGAAGAGGGGCCTGATCACCCAGGGCACGTCTCATCTCCAGAACCTCAATTTTAATTGAGGGGGTTTCTGGGGTCGAGGAGAGGTACTCCTTACACACCAGGGCTAGTGTCTCCCTAGGACTCAGGGAGTCTGAACAGGAGGACGATCTTGGTGGGTATGCCCCATTCAAACTTGGCATTCTGCTTATCAGACATAAAGGAAGGAAATAAGGACCAGGAGGATAGAATCTCTCTACAAACTTATGTTTAGCCCCATACCTCTGCTTCAACTGGCACCCACACATTTAGTGGCTTCAAAGAACAGGATCTGTTACCCACAGTTTTCAAGACAATAAGTCTTGTAGAGGTCCAGCTGGCCAAAGTCAAGACACTGGTGTGCTTTCCTCCTGATGCCTGGCATGGAGCCTGGCTCCCATCCCCTCCAGCTTCCTGGGTACCCTAACTTCCTGAGCCATCATTTCTTTGTCCAGCTTTCGAGCCAGCAGCAGTGTTTCAATCTGACCTACTGCTGTTCATCACCTGGAATGGGTCTCCATTTCTAACTGGAGTTAGATGTGGTCAGCTTAGACCTGCCCCACAGGTCTCAAGAAATCACATAGTCAAGTTGCTCCCTGAAACTGTTTACAGGTTCTGGGCATCAGGCAAAAAAATCTTTAGCAGAGGACATATTACCCTGCCCACAACATCCTATTAGAAACAAAACAAAACAAAACAAAGCAGGACTAGGGACACACCTCAGTTTGTTGGGTACTTGACTAACATGCAAGTGCTAGATTTGATTCCCAGAATTGCACAACCTGGATGTGGTGGTGCACACTCTAATCCTAGAGTTCAGGGGATGGAGGCAGAAAGATCAGAAATTCAAGGCCATCTCAGGTTTGAAGCCCGTCTTCGATACACGAGTCCCTATCTCAAGAAAATAACCCAATAACAGCAACAGAAACCAAACGGCACAGTCTAATAATAACAGTAAAAATACCCGCAGCAGGTCAGTGAAAACTAGTATTTGGGCTGGAGATGGAGCTTGGTGATAAAGCCCTTGACCAGTATGCACAGGCACTGAGTTTGAAAGGCAGCAATGAATAAAACAAAGAAGGCATGAGATTTGAGCAACTGTCTCATGAAATTGATTCCGATGCATTTGGTGAAAGGCTCCAAATAATTTAGACTTCTAAAAACACCCTCATATTTGTAAAAAAAGAAAGAAAGAAAAGGTTCAATTTACTTATAAAAATTGTATCTATCAGAGAGATGCAAATCATAACAAAATGAGGTGTTAATATAGGCTACAGCTCTAAATGAGCAAGACCAAGTTTAGGGGACAAGGGGTCTACTCACCAGTAGCGGCAACCCGAAGGCTATGGCCAATATGAAAACAATGAGCATTCGTTGATGCCGTGGAAGAGCCTCAGTCATGATCATGCTACATGCCTCATACCTACAAGGCGCCCTTCATGGTATGGAGGCGCCAGTGTGGCTGCAGGAGGCATGGCCCAGGAGCTAAAGACTCTCAGGCCAGAGTGAATCCCAATGCTCACCACAAAAGAGAATGTGCCTAGAAAATCACAAAGACAGCAGCCCCACAGAGTTCTCCTCAGCAGCTGTCTGCACGACAGGGGTGGGAGTCTTCTTTATCATAGATACACACTTTAGTTGATTATTAATGTGTGCATGCATGTATATGCGTGTGCGTGCATGAGTGTATGCACCTGTGTATGCAGGTGCTTACCGAGGACAGAAGACGACATTGGATCCCTGGGAGCTGGAGTTACATGCATTTATGATTTATACAGCTTGTTACACAGGTGCTAGAACCCAAACCCTGCGTTCGTCCTCATTGCACAGCCCAAGTCCTCAATCTTAAGGCTACCTGTCAAGCCCCGCATATAATTGTTTGTCAAAATGCAGTTCTTCTGGTGATAAATCCCACATTTGTTATCCATAAGTATGTTTAATTTGCCTCATTTTATTTTCATTTATATTTATTTAGTGTGTGTACGTGTGTGGGAGCTGTAATATGTATGTCAATTCAGAGGTCAATACAGAGTGCTAGTCCTCAGTCATCATGGTATGTATGTATGTATGTATGTATGTATGTATGTATGTATGTATATATGTCTCTATCTATCTATCTATCTATCTATCTATCTATCTATCTATCATGTATGTATGTATGTCTCTATCTATCATGTATGTATCTATCTATCTATCTATCTATCTATCTATCTATCTATCTTCTGTTTATTTGAGACAAGATCAGTCGCTATGACCTAGGGCTTGCTGATTAGTCAAGCTGGCTGTCCAGTGAACTCCAGGAATTCTGTCCCTGTTTCCCCAGCACTGAGATTACAGCTATACACTACTATGCTCACTTAGAAATTATTTTCAGATTTATTTATCTTACTATTTTATGTGTGTGAATGTTTTGTCTGTATGTATGTCTGTGTACCATGTGTGTGTCTGGAAAAGGGGCATTAGTTCCCCTGGGACTGGAGTTACAGATGGTTGTGAGCTACCATGTGGGTGCTGGGAATTGAACTTGGGTCCTCCACAAAAGCATCAAGTGCTCTTAATTGCTGAGCCATCTCTCCAGCTCAAGTACTGACTTTTTATATGAGTTCCGAATGTCAAACTCAATCTTTGTGTTTTTTTTTAAAACCATATTTTTATTGATTCTTTGAGAATTTCACATCATGCACCCCAATCCCACTCATCTCCCAGTTCCTCCATATCTTCCTCTTAGTGTCACTCCCAAAGGAAAACTAAAAAAGAAATAATAAAAATCAAGATTAAAAAAAGGACAAAAGAAAAATTTGAAAAATTTAAAAATACAAATAATATCCTTATCAATTAAAAACAAGCAAGCCAACAAACAAAACAAACTCCACGATGACCCTCTCCTCCTTCTTGCCCCCCTCCACCTCCGCTTCATTTGTCTTAGCTGCATTGGGTGCAGCTGCGTGCCATGCAGTAGCCCTTCTGTCCAAACAACTTTACTTGCAAATGCTCACTGTTCAATGTGTTGTTGGTCAGGTTCAAGGCCTCTGGCTTCCGGTACACCATCAATGCTGGACCCTCGTGGAAATTCCTCAGCCTGCTGCTGCCCCAAGTCAGGGAGATCCTGCGGCTATGGTTCTGTAGGACCGACCCCTCCACATACCCCAGCAGGTCATAGATGGGGTAGATATTGGGGTATGACAGCTCAAAATCATGGATCTGTATGTGGGAGGCTGCTGAGTTTGTCAGTCCAGGCCTTTGGGACCACTCCCATCAGGTAAAGGATGAGGCCAGCTTTCCATGTGTGGGGGCCAACTCTCCGTTTAGGGGCAGGGCCAGCTTTCCCCAGGGTCATTGGTTCCAGGACTGGTGAAGGGCATGGTTAGCTCATCCAGACCCTCCTACTTCAACACATGGTTCAATACATGGTTTGCATGGGCCCCCGGGGTAACATGAGCAACAGACATCAACACAGCCCCCTGGCTGTGTCAGCATCATGGACCTAGACATAGCCATCAGCTGTAGCCTGGGCCCAGATGTCACTATAACCCTGCAGGACAATGCAGGCCTTTTGGATCAGCATGGGTCCAGCAGCAGTGTGGTCCCTGAACTCCAGTATGGTCTCAAGTAGTGTCCCAGACCCTGAGCAGTTGCACCCTGATGGCAACAGGAGCCACGGACCACAACCCAGACCTTGGCTGCAATAGAGCCACAGACTTAGACACCCCCCGACCCTCCACCACAGCTCGGGCCAAGGTCAACATGGCCCTGGGTAGCAGCAAAGCCCCCCAGATCTGTATGGTATAATGGCAGCATAATCCTCAGGCATCAGCATGGCCTCTGGTGTTGACCCATACCCCAGGCATCTGCACAGATTTCAGTGGTAAACAAAAGCCACTGATATTCACATAGGTCCTGTCTGTGGCAGGGCCACGGACCCAAACATGGCCCCTGACAGCAGCGTGGGCCTGTCGATACTCTGGCCACAGGTGGCCATGCAGTCCACTCGGAGCAGCGTGACCCTGGCAGCAGCACGTCACTCGGATCTAACATGGCCACTGGTGACAGCACAGAGCCCAGATATCTGTGATATTTGTTGGTGACACAGGCCGTGGGCATCAACCCAGACCCTGGCTATAGTAGGACCATGGACCCAGATATGGTCCTAAGAGGTAGCCTGGATCCAGATGCCACCGTGGTCATGGTTGCAGCAAAGGCCTCTCAGATCAGTATCACCTCGCCACAGGGTGGCCCTCAGACACTAACACAGCCACAGGTGGGTGCCCTGATCACAGGCAGCCACCCAACCCTTGATGGCAACGGACACTTTGGATATCAACACAGACCCTGGCTGTGGTAGGGCCACAGACCCACATGTGGCTCAAGCCCGGATATTAATTTAGCCCCGGGTGGCAGCCTAGGCTGCTCAGATTGTGATGGCCCCTGTGGTGACATGGCCCTCGGGCAGCAATGTAGTCACAGTGGCAGCCTAGATCCCAGGCATCCTCACAACTTAGGATGGTAACAGGAGCCATGGACATCAACGCGGATCCTGGCTGTGGTAGGGCCACAGACCGAGACATGGCCCTTGGCAGCAGGCCAGGACCAGACGTTACCACGGCCCAGGGTTAAAAGCAGGCCTCTGACATCAGCCTATTTCTCACCACTTTTGCCTCTTCAGATCCACCTCTCTCCATAGGACATGAACCTCTTTGCCTCTCTCTCCCTCCTATACCCCTCTGCATTGGCTCACCATAAAGGTGCCGGACTGCCCTGGCAACCAGTGGTTTCTTTCCTCCTGCCTGGTGCTGTGTTAGTTCATCTCCTCTGATTGGTCCCAGTAGCACTGAGCAGGCCTGTGGCTTCTTCCTGCCCGACCAGGGCAAAACTCCAGTTCCCGAGTTTTCAAGGCAAGCATTTAGCTAGCTGAGCCTCCCCCAGCCGGTACTTTATTTGAACTATTATTATCATTTGTTGTAGGATCCTCACTGGCAACTGTTTTCTTTCTGCAGCTTTTTTTTGATTTCCTTGATTGCTTTTGTGCAGTGCTAAGGATAGAACCCAGGGCCTTGGGCGGAGGATGCCCTCTCCATTCGCACCTCAAGCCCCTAGCACCGGGTACATGCATGGCCAGTTTTGTAGACTTTTTTTCGACAGAAAGTTAGCGAAAACATTGTTCCTCTGAAGACTACACCACAGGCAACTACTCCCCCACCATGTTAAAATTTGGTTTCTATGCTTGGCTTTTTTGTTTTTCAGTCTTAAAACTTCCCTTTGACTCCGTCTTATGGCACCTAGGTCTATTATGGGGACAAAGCCATTCATTTCAAGAGAGTTTGTCGTTATCTCTTGAAGCATGGTTCTGGGGTGTCTTGAGTCTTTGGCGCTCCTAACTCAGCTGGATCAGCAATGCAGGGTTGGGTGTCTTTCTGCTGCAGGGTTATGTGTTTTCTTGATACTTTATATTCCTATACAATTTGGGACTGTAGGCTGGACTTTTCAAATCTTGTTGTTTTTTTTGGCACCCTGGTCCCTTTAAAACCCTTCTGGAACAAAGTAGATTTGTTATTGTTTGAGCAGAGAAACTTCTTTTTTAGGAATGTTAATAGCCCCAGTTTTGATCATCTCTCCAAGAGCCTTTTTTCCTCTTCCTCCAGGTCATCAGGTACTTTCCTTCACCTCTAAGATGCAGATGTCTGAAAATGTGCCCCGAGTGTATGCTGCACAGGCCCCGGCTTCATTTTCTGGTTCTCAAACTGACCTTTGAACCTCCTAGAACTCCCTACGTGTTCAGGCTCTTTTACTGGTGATGACCCCAGGTGATGACCGACTGTATGTATCCTGCAAAGGGTCCCAGCTACCCTAGGTCCTTGCCCCTCTGGGTCCCTGTTCCCCTAGGTACCTGCCCCTTTGGGTTCCTGCTCCCAATGGGTCCCTGTTCCCCTGGGTCCCTGCTTTCCTGGGTCTGTGCTCCCCTGGGTTCCTGCTCCCCTAGGTCCCTGCCCCTCTGGGCCCCTGCTCCCTTGGGTCCCTGCCCCTCTGGGTCCCTGTTCTCCCTAGGTACCTGCCCCTTTGAGTTCCTGTTCCCACTGGGTCCCTGTTCCCCTGGGTCCCTGTTCCCCTGGGTTCCTGCTCCCCTAGGTCCCTACCCCTCTGGGCTCCTGCTCCTTTAGGTCCCTGCTCCTCTGGATCCCTGCTCACCTAGGTCCCTGCTCCTTGGGGTTCCTGTTCCCCCTGGGTCCCGGTTACCCCTAGATTCCTGCCCCTCCGGGTCCCTGTTCCCCTAGGTCCCTGCCCCACTGGGTCCCTGCTTCCCTGGGTCCCTGTTTCCCTGGGTTCATGGTCCCCTGGGTCCTTAACTTTTTGGGTCCCTGATCCCTTGGGTCCCCACTCCTTAGGACTAGTCTCCCTTTGGGTCCCTTTTCCCCCTGGGTCCCTGCTCCTGTTTCAGTGCCCCTCTGGGTTTTGTTTATTTGGTTTTGGAAGGAATCTGACCCCCCCACCATCCCTTCTAATTCATTAAAGGATATGGATAGCTATACTTTTTATGTTCTAATTTGAAATGTAGTTTACATTTTTCATAAGTTTTATTTTATGTAAGATTTTATTTTAACTTATGCATGCAAAATTATACAAAATTTTATCTTATATATACATAATTGTGGATTTTTATGTAAAATAGTTTGTGTCTCAACTTTGCAGTTATTTTCCATGTTACACGTGTTTTCCCATTTAGGTTTTTAAACAGCCACTCACTCACGTGAGGAAATAGACATTCTTTTACTGTAGACTTGGGTCCTGCATAGCATTCCACGCGTGTGCAGACGCAGCCTTCTCTCCACTGCTGGCTTTTCTTCCAGGAGTG